GTTCGCAGGGTGGTCCCATTCTTGGTTGTCTGTCTCTCTGCATCTTTCCTGCGCTCATGGCTCTAGTTGATTTTTTGTTCTCATTTGATATGTTTGCAGAACATCAAATGATTGTTAAGAAAAAGCGCACATTTTCCTTTCTGATTGTTTCGCCACTGTATGCACAGCTTCTCGTCATCCATGAATTGTCGTTTATTTAACGATGAACTCTTTGATCATCCGTTCGAAGAATCGCTGTGAGCGGATAATCTTAGTGTGTTAGGTCAACAATCAACCATTATCGATGGTTTTTCGTAACCATGGTTTCTTATTGCCAATATTTGCTCTGTTGTGTAAGAGGCGACCAGCTGACATTTGCATAATCGTAGTAATTGACCCTCTGGGTCTCCTCACCCCACCCCGTGTCGTCTCCTTTGCCTGTATGATGCAAGACCGACAAGGGTGAACTGTGTACACCTGCCTATGTAATTCTGGGGATTATTGTGCGAAACTCCATCGCTGTGTTGTGCAAGATTTCAGCGCAAGGCGCGGATTATTTGACGAAACTGTCTTCTTTACAGCTTCGCGCAACAAATGGGGCAAAGTTGAATTAGTCCATGAAAGACGTATATAAAACACAAGTTTGGTTCATTGTTCTATGCTTACTCAGGTTTAGACTGCTTAAGAATTCTACTGACAGAAACTTCTGCGAGGAAATCCCCCAACTAAATAATAAATTTACCTGCTTTATACTTTATATTGTACCATTCAACGTTCGCTGGTTATTTGCACATAAGAGTGAGGAAAATCGCCCCAGTACAGTTGCGTCTGAAGCACCTTTTTAAGGAGTGCCCAAGGGTTCTTTTTCTCTCATTAACACGTGTGTGTTTGCTGTTCAATAGTGCTGCTGGGCTGAAAGCTCTTTGACTTACGCGCCCGTCCTCCGTGTTTTTTTCTGGGCACACGTTCTGATAATTGCGAGAACATGCTAAACCCAATAATCTGGGCCACATTTCCGAACAATGAATGCGTTTGGCTGCAACATTCCACGAACTGGCCCTAACAACATTCGCTAACAGTTGACCCCCGTTTGTGGAAGATTCTCGCAATATTATCAGAAGACAAATAGTATGGTGAACAAGCTTGTTTTCGTAACTTCGTCTTTCGGCATTTACAGTTGTGTACGTCTGTTTGCAGATGACATAATCGAAAGTTCATCAGGCTAAATCGACAAAGAACAACCTTGGTTGTCAAGTTCTAGGGGACTATATGGACAGGGATCCGAGGTGACCTTCGGAATGAGTTGTCGACAATTTTCAGAAGTTACCTCGGAGCCCTCTCTATTTTCTCCTTTGAACCTTGACATTCATTCTTATTTCGCCTAATAAATAAATCACGTTCTGTTTTATCGTATGTATGAACAGACATGGCTGTAAATGCCAGAAGAGAGAGCCACAAAAACAAGCTGGTTTGCTATATTATTTACTACCAATAAGCCAGTCTTCAGGATTGAGGGCATAGGGCAGGGTGCCCGTGTAAGCCCCATCACCACTGGGTCGAAGGTCCGATCACAAGTGTTCGTTCCTCCATAGCCCCTTCAGGTGCTCATCCAAACGCCGTTTGCAAGCAGCGTCTGTCTTCTCTTCCACCACAATCGCTGGAAGGAAATTCCAGAGTGTTGTTGACCTACGCGAGAGTCGGTAGACTAACGGAAGACCAACTGACTGAAGTTTCCGCAACGTGAGAGAGTGCCCCCGCGTGCGGTGCTCTGTCCGTAAAGGGAGGTACTGTTACAGTTCCGGGCCCATATCACCTCTCAGGGTCTTCCTTAGGCAGATGAGATCTCCCCTGAGGCGTCGATACACAATTGGGAACAGACCAATAGCCTGCAGACGACCTTCATAGCTGGTCCCGCGTAGTCCAACAACGAGTCTAGTGGCAGCACGTTGTACACGCTCCAACTTATCCAGTTCACCGGCCGTGCAGGGTTATGTCGCCGCACCACCGTACTCAAGTCTTGGTCTGACATGGGAGGCGTACAGCAGCCTGAAAGCGTCCGTTGTGAGCTGGTTGAAAGACCGCCGAATAGGCCCCAGAATGTTCCATGCGCTAGCACAGACCCGATCAGTGTTTTCTCGGGTCTTTAGTGATGACGTAACCATAACACCCAGGTCTCGTTCGCACGATGTTCTGCGCAATGTGGTTCCCTAGAAGTTGTAGACTACTTCTGAGTCAGCACACCCCAAATGCAGGTGAGCACACGTTGCTGTGTTGACTGGAAGAGCCCAGGTATCCGCCCACTGAGCCAGGTTGTTCAAATGGGCTTGAAGAGAACTTCGATCATTCGGATCCTTGATTGTATGCCAGATTTTGATGTCATCCGCATACATGAGGGTTAGGCCTCACAGTTGACCGGGCAGGTCGTTCACATAAACCATAAAGAGCAATGGACCAAGAGCCGAGCCTTGGGGCTACACTGGGGGCGGAATACCACGCAGAGAGCGATTTGCCAACACGGACGCAGAATTTCCGAACGATGTGGAAGTCTCGCAGCCAATTCCGCACGACCACACCTACACATAGGTTGGACAGCTTTCGCAGAAGGTCGTGCGGCACCTTGTCGAAGGCCTTGCTGAAGTCCATGAAGATGATGTCCGTTTCGTCTCCTTTGGTCTTATCCTCGTTCCAGCATTCACGTGCAATCAGCAGATTTGAGAGGCATGAGCGACCCGGCCGGAAACCGTGTTATTGGTGGCACAGGTGACCGTGGCACACCAAATGCTACCGAAGCCGTGCAGCCACCAGTCGCTCCATTACTTTGTCCACAACGCTAGTAAGGCTGACTGGTCGGTAGTTCCCAGGGTCACTCCTATCCCCAACTTTGGGCAGTGGAACAATGACAGCGTCCTTCCAATGCCGCAGTAAACGCCCCTGAGTGAATGACAAATCGAACAGGTTGCACAGTGGCGCTGCTAGTTCATCTGCCAGCTCCTTCAGGATCAGCGTATGCACACCATCAGGTCCAGATGACTGGTGAACCTTTAGTCGACGCAGCTCCAGGGCCACCTCTCCG